ACTTTTGAAAATAAAAATAAACAAAAAACAACCAGAATAACTTTAAAATCTGGTTCAAGAACCTTCTAGAATGTTCCAAATCTGTTCAGGAACCTTTTAGAAAGTTCCTAAAACCGGAGTGATTGCACGTAAACAGAAGGGTACTTGGCCTGACCCATGTACGAGCGAAGGAGTTGTGCGATACATCGACAATTTGTCACAACCCGTGACAAATAGGATTCTCTAGCCCGCTCCACCATGCTTGGAATGACGTTTGCAGGCCACTTACCTGGGAGCAACTAGTTGATGGGTACCCATTCGGGGGCAACCACAACGGTCACTTTTCTGGCCCCATGAGTGTGCCAAGTGGTGCGCTTAGACACACCATGTGTCGCGCTCTGGGTGTTATTTCTTTTTTAGTTTTTCGGCTTTCTGGTTTACTGGTTTTTCCTAGGTTTAGGAGGGTTTAGAGTTTTTTTTAAATTAATTGGGAAGCAACGCTTTTCTGTGAAAAGCATAATTGTGCTTCTATGAAAGGGAAAAACACAACCTATGCTTTCAAGAGAAACGCAACTTGTGCTTCCACGAGAGAAGCAAAAGACGTACGTCCACGAGAATAATAACTGTGCCTACCTAAAGAGAAAACACACATGTATTTCCACGCTTCCGAAAAATGAAAAAACACAGCCTGTGCTTCAATGAGAAGCACATCTATGATTCCCGAAAGGGGAAAGCACGACCATGCTTCCGGATTTTGACTTTTTCGGGTTTACGTTTTTTCTATTTGTTTCTTGTTTCTTGTTTTGTTTTTCAATTTTCAATTTTTTTTGGTTTATGGTTTTTCTGATTCCTAGTATTTTCGTGGATTTTTTTTTTGAAATCTAGTAACATGAGATCTAGTTTTGAAGATCTCTGTGCGAGAATCTAATAATGAAAACGATCTGTGATTTGAATGCACGGTTTAAGAGATAAATTGTTTAAAAAAATAAGATCTACAAAATAAAAATAAAAATTCAAGCTGCAACAAGTGATGCACATGCACTATGTTGTTTGTCAGGACCAGATAATATGAAAGTGACATTTGCAAGAGGTATGCCTTAACTTAACTAGCTTTTTTTAGAACTCTTAACTTAACTGCTATTTGGCTCTTACTGCGATACAACAACAAATCAGCGCCAAGTAGAGCCGGGAATAGGTGCATTTTGGCCCACGGGAGCAACCGCATTGCATTGACACACCTAGCCAGGCCTCCAAGGAATCTGTCATCCCGAAGCGATTGATTTTTTTGTCTCATGGCCTTTTCCACCGCAAATTATATTTGACACACTTATGCGTGTCCAGGGGCCAACTTATTTTGAGTTTTCAAGTTATCTTCCAACTTATTTTGAGTTTTCAAGTTTTATTTCTTTAGGATTGTCTCCTTTTTTCCAACTATTTTTTATTTTTTTTTTCATTTTTCAATTTATATTATTTTTACTTTATGTGAACATATATTCAGATGTCTATGAATAACATTTTTTAAGTCTATGAACCTTTATATCAAATACATGAATGTAAAAATATGCACAAAAATATTTTTTAGATATATAATGGACATCTTTGATTCATACATGTGAACATATATATGTACACAAACGAATACTTCTCATTTTTTCCATTTTACCTTTTACTATATTTGAAACGATTTTTCACAAAACGATCTTGTGTGTGAACGCTAAGAAAAATAATTATTTTAGTTAAAAATAAAAATCCCAAATTTAACGGGTCATGTCGCTGACCCGTGTATGGGGATTTGCAGGTGTTTGCCTGACTATTTGATAGGAGAAGCTCATTTTCTTCAGTCTTGTCTCCGAGATGTACGTTTTTTTTCTGCATTGAAATAACAAACGCTCAAAGAAATTTGATTTGTTTGCACCAGTTCAACCGATGTGTTTGGCCTTAATTGGATAGACCCATCATCAAGGAAAGACATCTTTGTCCTTGAGGTGAGAGGCTAAATTTCGCGACATCAGTGTGAATATGTTCTTTCTTCTTGAACGCCTTTGTAGTGGAAGAATGGAACCATACTTGTATTTTTTTGTCATATCATGTCAATATTCTACCATTGTTGATTGTTGTCTACTTCATGTACTTTGTTTAATGGCTTCTTTGTATTATATCTACTTTAATAAAACTATGGATGTGTGCATAGGCAGATGCAGAGGCCCGGAGGTTTGGTTTGTTTCTGAAAACAAGCATCCTAAAGGATGAGATGATAGCCATTTTTTTTCACCTGAACAAAGTTTCTGACAGTTTATCCTTGAGAGCTCTAAGAAGGGTGCAAATAAGACCTTAACGAATTTAGGATAATGGGTCGCCACTTGGATGATAACTAGGGTCTGTTCATATTGTGATTTACTTGATTAATAGTCCCCCAAAAGGAGGGTTGACCCCCTGCCAGTGCAATTTCTTCATACTAGTTGCCACAACACCATCCCCATAGGAAAATAAATCTTCAAAATACTTTCTTAATTAATTAATTATAAAAACATTTGCTCATTGTGTTTGTATCCGCTTGATGCTTCATTACGAGTCAATAAAAGCACCTACGATAGAGAGAAAATATAGAAGTTTTTGGGGTGGGGTGAGGTCGGGTGGGGGGTTGTGCAAGGACAACTTTAAACACAAATTAAATAAGGCAATAAATAAATAAACCCACAACTAGAATTTTGCAAGGATAGAGCTAAAACATTCAAGATTTATCAATGAAATTTGACCAATTTTTTTGGTGATGTAAAAAGTAATACAATGGTATGAAATCTGCAAAAAGAATATGTTCATAATACGCAACTTTTCACTAACAATTTTGTATTTTTGTTTTGAAAAGGAGGATTACCCCCGGCTTTTGCATCAAGAGATGCACGCAACCATTTTTATTGCATTATTCAACAAGGCCTTACAAAATAAATAGATAGATCAACCCAAAGCCACCTTCCCGAGTTGATGATGTGCCCTAACCTCGCGGCACGCACACTAAGAAATCCGGTGGCCTCATCAAGGTGCCCGCTGACTAGCTGGGAGCACCAACTGATCTAGCAGACCCTCAACGTGCACCACATGCGCACACAAAAGACTCCGTCATCGCCTTCTTCCACAGTCCCCTCTTCAGGAGCAATCAATGCAGTGATCTTGCCAGGCCCTTTTGTCGTTGACGCTACCACGATGTCGGACATCACCAGCCTCCTGTGCGCGCCCATCAAACGGTATCCAACGTCGTGACCACGTTGCACCTTGCCGCCAAGACTCGTCATCATCGATATTGTAGATGGCACACCGCTCCACCTTGGTCACCGCACGAGAAGCATGCGGTGACCTGCGCCCAACCACGCCTCTAGCCAGCAACTGCTCCAAAACGATGTCCACATGAGGTAGAATGATGCCGAACGTTGGCATCGTCTAACCCGGGAGGCCTAGATCTAGGGTTTTCCCTGGAGCATCCCGAGGGAGAAGATAAGAGATGCATCGATGATGCCTTCATCAAGGTAACAACGCCCCCAAGATGCCGCATCTTTTGCCGTCAAGGACGACCCAGTTTTCACAGGTAGTCCTGTCTCCCCATCCTCACCATCAACCGGAGCCGACGGATCAGTGAGCCGGACGACGGCGCAAAACCCCAGCCAGTTAGAACTCCACGGGCATGAAAGGGAGGCCGCATCCCTACCCCACCGCGACGCATCTGGGCCAAAACCCTAGGCGCCGCCACCAAGACCACGACCGAGGCGCTGCGAGGGAGGACTTGACACGGCAGCCGCCGTCGCGGATCCGGGTGGCCTGAAGGTCGACATCAATGGGCGTGGGGTTCCCCACTAGAGAACTCGCCATCGCCGGGTGGGGGATGAGAGCGCGAGGATGGGATGACACATGCCCCGCCTCTATCTTCCTGGGAGCCGGCGCGGCTTCGCCGACCGCTCCACCGGTGGCGGCGAGGAGATGGGGTGAGGTGGAAGGGGCCTGCGACGGCACTGGCAAGGGTTCCCCCACCGCCGGCAGGGAAGGCGGTTGCATACTAATGATTGGTATTAATAACGTCATGTAATTTTCAAACCAGGGAAGTATATTTGATGAAATTTCATATATGCTCCTCGTTTAAACTTGCTTACATTATTACTCCGATCCTCGTTTAAACTTGCCCGTTTAAATTTGCTGTCATATATGCTCCTCGTTTAAACACAAGGGCGTTGTTATATATGCTCCTCGTTTAAACACAACGCCCTCGGAGCATATATGAAATTTAAACGAGGATCCTCGTTTAACGATTGGTAACAACGCCCTTCATCATTACCAACCGTTGATCACTTCGTAAAGCCTAAAACCTTGTGTTTTTGTGATCGTCACGGAACCACCTACCACAACATCTGGGAATCTATCCTTCCGAATAAATTCGGCAAATGGAAGATGATTAGCCGTAATAACTGAGAGGACTGCGAATCCCATCATCGATGCCCCGATAGTGACTAAAAACATACTCCCTCTCTCTCAGTTTACAGGGTGTGCGTCAATTTGACAAACCTAATACAAGTCATATATTACAAAAATTATACGAATATAAACTTCAGAAGTTCTATCTTCAAAAGGTATAATTTTTGTGTTATATAGTTTATATTAGGGTGATAAAATTGGCAACCTAGGTATACGCGTAGGACTTGTAAACTGAAATGGAGGGAGTATGTACATTAACCAAACTCACACGTGCAACCAACGAACATCATACAAACTCAAATTATTTAGCTGGTATATCCATCAGTCATACCGATGAATTTAACAACCACACCGTATCATGCATGCATCGCGCGCCGTATACAATGTCCTTTTTGTACTACAGATAAATTGTTTAGACCAGGATCACATCATAATCGGGCCGGCTAACACTTACATATAGTATCAATTAATTTTTATTGACGAGGACGGCCGGAGCAGGGAGTGTGACACGCATGCATGCATGGACGAGAAGGTGGCCGGCGGTGGGCTAGCCAGCTAGCTCGCTAACGGCCGCCGAATGACTTGACGCCGAGGCGCCACCTCTTCTTAGTGTCCTCGATGAACCTGCCCGCCCTCGAGTTGATGTCGTCTCCGGGGCTGTCGGGCTTCCGAGCCGCGCCGGAGCTGCCGGCGCCGGCCGTCCATGGCTGTGGCTTCCACGCGTTGCCGATGGCCCCGCCGCTGGTGCCGACAGGAGGCTTGATGTGGACGAGGTTGCGGAACTCGATCTTCTCCACCTTCTGCACCGCTACCTCCTCCCCGGCTGCCGGAGCTGGGTTCTTGGTGCTCTTGCCCCACCGGAACATCTTCGACCTAGCTGGTGGAGTATATAATGCTTGTTTGTTTCCTAAGGTTGGATGAATGGGGATGGCGAACGGATGGCCCCTTTTATAGCGAGGCATATGTGCATTTGTAGTTACACATGTTCATACCGTAAAGATATAACAGTTTCACATAGAAATTCCCTCATTAACCATGAGGTCAATGCGGTCATCAGTAGATGTGATGTTCGGTTCTCATGGCACGGATGGCGGATGGCTGTCGCTGCTAAGGTAGAGCGAATATGTTTGTTCCTTCGATTTACATATGACCGACCTGGAGTATGTCTACGACCGCTTTTATTTTTGTACTATGTTACTATACGACAGCGATTTGTAATTCTGCACACACCGTTGTCGAGTCAGTTGAGCTTTTGGCATATCTCCAACACCATAATACCATGTAAAAACTTATGCCTCTTTTGGTTCAAAGAAATGTAGAGGTAAAAGACAGGAATGCAAATTTTTCCTATGATGATATTATTCATATGCCTTTGTTTAACAGGAATGGGACAAAGGAAAAAAAATGAAAGAAAATTTTCTCTTATCTCAATTTGAAGGAAAAACACATGAATTCTAACATCTGCTTGGACGTCTTTCCAAATTACTATGCACAAAAGAATGAGACTGAGATCCTTAGTGGCATCATAATGTTCTAGCTATATATTTTCATGTGGTGTGACTTTTAATTTGACCATGTTAATTAGGATTCCTTTGTTTTTTCAATTCCTGTGAACCAAACATCAAGTTGACAGAATTTCTATGATTGCCAATCCTCTATTTTGCACATGCATTCTTATCATTTTTTTAGAAAAGGATGATGACCCCTGGTCTCTGCATCTGGACGATACTTTATTAATTATTCCCACAAAATCTAACAAAGTCATACAACAGTAAGACTGAAGCCACCGTTTAAGCAACAACTGTCGCTACACCTATCCAGTTGATGAAGGGGCGCTGATAGTCTGGGCCTAATACCAAACAGACATCGCAGCCAAACCTAAACATCTAAGACATGAGGTCCCAACCAGGACGCCTGCCTGGTATGAGGCACCTACCAGTCCGGCGCACTCCTCAACCAGGACGCCTGCTGGGAATGGGGTCGCCGCAGTAACCTGCCGCGAGTCCATCTTCAGAGTTGTACTGTTGCATCTACCGTGCCAGGTCTCTCAGCCATTGATGCCACCGCGACGCCAGACTGTGTCGTCCTCCTGCGCAAGTCTATCCTTCCACATCAAACTCCGAATCTGCACTGCACCACGCCGTCCAGATCCGTCGCCATCAATGTATGGATGAAGCACCGCTCCACCAAAGAAGCCGTCCGCTGGTCCCGCGAAGCCGAGTGCACCTCCAAGAATGTCGCCCCCAAGGGGGTTACGACACATGATTGCCGCCAACATCCGATCAGCTGATCTAGGGTTTCCCCCGGAGGTATTGAGTGGAGTTGGGAGCTTCACCTCGATGATGCCTTCATGAAGGAAACGATGATAACGGCATCGTCATCACCGTCTCCGGCCATCGGCCGAAGATTAGGTTTTCACCCGGATCCGTCCCAAGAAATGCACCCAACAACCTGTGCACCGTCTCGACCGCCTTTAAAGCCCCAGATCTAGCCGCCTAGATCCGGCGACCAACCGCAGCAACAGTGCCACCGTGGGACCCCTGACGCACGGGCCACTGCCTGAGTGTGCCACCACTGGAGCCTAGGAGGAGGGCTCCCACCCCGCCTCGCCAAGCCGCGAGAGCCGCCGAGAAGGATCCCGCGTGCTCGTCACCGTCTCTGATCCGAACCAATGCATTCTTATCATGTTCTTGTGTTTTTTCTATTCCTTTGCTTTTAGAATCATGCGAACAAAATATGCCCTAATATTCTTTTTGATAATTGGAAGTTTTCTTCCTGGCCACATCATAAATGCATGTGTAAATGCATGGTGCAATCTATGTATGTATCTCTCTATTATTATGCACTGAAAGAAAATGAAAGGAAAAAGAAATAGAGAGAAGTACATGCTAGCTAGAAATAAAGAAAGAGAAAAATGAAAGAAATCACAGCCGTTAGATATGGTATAGTCATACTTATTCAGATTGTACCTATATCTACATAATTGTATCTAAATAGATTATGTCCAATAGATTTTCATAATTATATTTTCTGGTGATGCTATGACCATGCTCTCTAACTAAAATTGACATGCTCGACCAACACAAATTGCGATGATAATCATTCGCAATTGCCATCCCTCCAGCGAACATTTGCTGGTCATGATGGTTCTTTTTCTTTGCTATATGAGTGTGTTTAAAATGTTGTAATGAATTTGGATGTTTTTTTACATGATATATGTTCCAAGAAAACTGCAAACACAAAGAAAAAATATTTTAAATGAAGGTTTTCTACTGCAATAATCAAACCTCACAAGATCATGAGTCAGGTGAACCAACCTGTGGTTGGATGGTTAGAGGAACATCGATATCCCCAACCCAACAGGGTTCAAGTCCTGGTGCTTGCATTATTTTTGGATTTATTTCAGGATTTTCGGTGATGCGTTTTTAGTGGGAGTAGATGTTTCGACGACAACGAGGCGCCTACGGGTACTGTCATGTTCGTCTGCTTTAGTGATGTGATACGTTGTGTGTTGTTGCTACACGGAGATGCATGGAGCATCTGAGAGCATCCCCAGACGACTCCAGTGGAAGCTACTAATTGGATAAAGCTAGCAGGCGTGTTGCGCGTTTCGCACTAATGAAAATCGAAGGTTCGAAGGCGAAAGGCGTCTCAATCGGACGAAGCCTCTAGTAGCATCTCCGGATATTTCCAAGAAAGGAACGAAGGGAGAACAAGGGAGAATGACCCTGCCATAGTCAATTCATACGCTTAGGAGCGACCGAACATTGGAGAAATGCTAGTAGTTCTTTACCGTCACGGGAGATGGTTGGTGAGAGTTCATGTGACGCTGTAACTTTTAGTTAGTACCTTCTATCATTATATTATTGCCAAGTGATTTTCACGTTTTTCCTCGCTGAAAGTAGTCGCGGCACTACCAAGCTACTAGAGAATAACTTCGGCTAGATTAGTTTGGCAACACCCACTCAAACGAAGTTAATTAAAATTTGGCAACCAAATCTTCTGATACACATACTATAAAGCAACTGTTGGGGTTCTTGTACCATTTTTTTTTCTCTCTCTATAATGCAAGATACACATGCTATGCGTATTCGAGAAAAAAAAGCAACTGCTGCATTAGGTATTCATAACCGTGAATTTACAATGCATAATTCCAGCAACATAGATTCACTTTTGATGACAAACTCATGAGTTTGTGTACTTTTGTACACTTCCAGAAAATACACCACATATATATAGTACAAAAGTTGGCGGGAACATTATTATATTTGATTGAATAGTGCAAAATCCAGAAATTTTAACTTCATTGACGCGTTTTCATCCTTTTGTTTTATTCTACTATACACTGATGATCATAACTTTTCATTTGTACTTGAGTTAAGACGCATACCCCTTGGCTGCCCTACCAACTCGAAGGCAAGGCGGCTGGGTTGCTCGCCTCCTGCCGGCGCCACCGCAGGTCTACCCGTCTGTTGTGGCCTTAGGCCATGGGAGCATGGTGGATCTCGGTCCTTGCTGACGGGAGGGCTCCAACTCTGTTTTTAGGTGTCTTTTGGTATATGTTTAGGGTTTGTGTCCTGCTCAGGAAGGCGTGGCAGCGGCAGCTTCCTAAAGATGGAATAATGTTCTCGTCGCCTAGCCCCGTCCCGATGGTGCGTCTAGCCTCATCGGAGGGCGTGTGGAGGTGTGTCTTCGGCGGATCTCGTGGGATTCGGTCGGCGTTTGTCTTCCGTGGATCCGTTTGATACAATCTTCATTCATTTGTTGTGTGTCTGCAGGTTAGATCCTTCCGATCTATGCTTCTCTTCATCGGCAGTGGTTGTTATTCTGGTGCGCTAGTCCTATAGGGCCTTAGCATGACGATTTCCCGACTGTCTACTACAATGTTATGTTTGTCTGCTCAGGTTAGGGAGGGGCGACGACGGCGGCGCGCCTTCAGCTCGCTCCAGTGATTGTAGTCGTCGCTAGGTGGTCTACGGACCTGGATGTAATTTTTACTTGTTTTCTGTACTATCTTGAGGGTTGATGAATAGATCGAAAGTTTTCTAAAAAAATTAAAATAGAAACGTGTTAAATGCCACTTTACTTACAAAGTAGAGGTATCGGTCCATTTCGTGGTTCATGTCCTCCACAGAAGCCTCCTTGAAGAAGGAGTTGATCTTGACATCCTCCGTCTTGTTGAGCATAACCCAAAAGTCTTTCTCCATCACGGGCAAGAACTTCTGTCCTATGGGTTCTGCCTCGTTCTACCCATGTTCATACTATGATTCTTCGTGATGCCTCAATGGGCGCCGAAAAGAATGGTTCTATCACTCTAGAATCAAATGGCAAGATGGAAACGACCTAGCCCAGATCCCATGTCATTCCCGAGAAGGCGACCCCAAAACCCTAGCCGGACTGGACCCCTCCCCCCTCTCACATATGGAATATATTTATGGGTGTGGTGCTAGATCCGTGAGATATGGTTGCTGGTATGAGCGGATGCGTTCGTACAACCAGCCGTCTTGAGCTCATGAAGCTCCAACGAGGTGTGGTTTTCTAGTGGTCTCCTCTCCTCATAAGTAAGGTGTTGATGACTCGAAATCTTCATAAATATCACAAGAGACTAAGGTTTTCTCCACTAAATGATAAAAGAGCTTCCCACTTTTGGATTCTTACACACAGAGAGCAATAGGGCAGCATCACCTGAGCAAATATAGTAATACTACTACTAAAGTGCAAAAATGTTAAGAAAAAGAAAAACATGCATTTAAATTGCACACAGCATCAGTGGAATACACGTGAATTATGTCTGATCCCGTCACTAGTGACCAACCATAAATTTCTGGCATGGTAATAACTTATCAGGCTAACTAGCTCATGTCAACCAAATTCGGTATAACAATATGGTTTAATGGAGTCTGTGCACATCATACTTGTGCTTTGTACAAACGAAATTTTCAAGGTTGGCCGACTTAGGGTA